TCCTATTGCCTGACCTAAGTCGACTCAGGAAGGACTAGGAATCGACTCTTAAGAGCTCAGCATTTGGGTGGAGATTCTTGTGTGGTCCAATCAACCTACAGGGGGGTGAATTCACCAAGACTGAGGAAGTCAGTGCTTACCAGACACGTGATTCGTGGAAGGCTGCTTTGAGACACCTTAGCGGAAACTAATAGTAATTATCGTATGGAATTGTGTGTAGTATAGCCAGGAGATCCAAAGACTGTCTGGCAGCCTTCACTCATTAGCATCATGCACCACTAGATGGCGAGCTAGATTTAATTTTTTTGGGCTGCGAGCACTCTGAAAGAGCTGTGACTGACCCAAGGCCACCCAGCTGGCTTCATGTGGAGGAGGAAGAAGAGATTGGATTTATACCCTGCCCTTCACTCAGAGTCTCAGAGCGGCTTACAAACTCCTTCCCCTCCCCACAACAGACACCCTGTGAGGTCGGTGGGGCTGAGAGAGCTCTGACAGAAACTCGGTTGAAGGGTGGGGTATAAATCCAATCTCCTCCTCCTCTTCAAGAACCTTGTGAGGTAGCTTAGGCAGCGAGAGCGACTGGCCCCAAAGTCAACCAGTGAGCTTCCAAATTAACTACGGTTAAGACCTCTAGAAGAAGGATCTGTTCCATTCCTCCAATTGTTGCAGACTTTAACGGGTTGCCAGATTTGTGACAGGTGAAACAAGGAAGCCACTTCCTATTGCCTGACCTAAGTCGACTCAGGAAGGACTAGGAATCGACTCTTAAGAGCTCAGCATTTGGGTGGAGATTCTTGTGTGGTCCAATCAACCTACAGGGGGGTGAATTCACCAAGACTGAGGAAGTCAGTGCTTACCAGACACGTGATTCGTGGAAGGCTGCTTTGAGACACCTTAGCGGAAACTAATAGTAATTATCGTATGGAATTGTGTGTAGTATAGCCAGGAGATCCAAAGACTGTCTGGCAGCCTTCACTCATTAGCATCATGCACCACTAGATGGCGAGCTAGATTTAATTTTTTTGGGCTGCGAGCACTCTGAAAGAGCTGTGACTGACCCAAGGCCACCCAGCTGGCTTCATGTGGAGGAGGAAGAAGAGATTGGATTTATACCCTGCCCTTCACTCAGAGTCTCAGAGCGGCTTACAAACTCCTTCCCCTCCCCACAACAGACACCCTGTGAGGTCGGTGGGGCTGAGAGAGCTCTGACAGAAACTGCTCTTTTTCAAGAACACCTCTGACAGAACTATGGCTTGCCCAAGGTCATCCAGCAGCTGCAAGTGAAGGAGAGGGGAATCGAACCCGGTTCTCCCAGATTAGAGTCTGTCGCTCTTAACCACCGCACCACGCTGGCTGTATTTAGCAGAAACTGCCTGTGATGAGGTTTGTGAAGCGAGTACCCAGATCAGCTGCCTGTGTCCGTCTTCTGAAAAGACGCACCGCGACCACAGCTGTGTGGTTGCCGAGACTGACTTAACAGCATGCGTCTTTGCAACCGCTGCGTGCCGCACTCACAACTCCATTGCCTCCCTGAGCGAAACAAAACTACCCATACCTCTGCTGCTGGCTCTCTAGGGTGTTCTCCTTTTGAGAGCGAACCCGAGGTTTGTTACGCATCAACCTGAGCTTGCATGTGAGCAGTGTTCCCTCTGAGCCGAGTTAGCGTGAGCCAGCTCGCAGTTTTTTAGCCTCCGGCTCACACATTTTTTGTCTCAGCTCAGGAAGGGCGGCTCCAGAGCAAACTGATTGATGCAGCAGCCAAATCGCTCGCCCACAACTTTAATGCCGGTAGCTCACAAAGTAGAACTTTTGCTCACGAGACAGTATAGAGGGAGCACTGCATGTGAGGCCTGCCCAGTGTACTTGAGACAGAAATGCAGTAAGCAAGGAACACATAAGGGATGGAATTGTAGGGCTGCTGGGAAAAGCCTTGCTTGGTTAGTCGTCTCTCTCCCCCCCCCTTCCCGGTCAACAGCTGCCTCAAAATTCACTTCGAGGCCGGCCTGTAAGAAAGCCTCGAAAGGCACATCTGTATTCCTGGACCCATTTCCCTTGTCTGCCCGGCATTGCCTTCCCATAAGCATCAGGGCCTGGCAATGTGGGGACCGTGGCGTTCAGACTGCAGCCTCTGCAGAAAAGAGGCACGCTCCGCTTTTCGGCTGACACTGCAGTTGGGCGGGGGGAAAGCCAGTGGCTCAGCGGCTGGCCGGAGTGAGTCTGCCACGGCGCCCTCGAAGTGGAACGCGCAGTTGTGATGTCTCAGCATGGCAGCCGTTGGGGCCGCTTCGAGAGCCGTCGCCATTCTTTGCGTATGGGCCGACTCTGCCCTTTCCACCTCGCCCCACAAAGGGGAGGCCAGCCAGTGTTCAAAGGAATAAAGACTGTGTGCATTTCACGGTTAAATGTGCAGTTTTAAAAATACCCCTTTGGCTGACGGGAAAGGTGAAAGGTGTGGTTGCCGTTGATGAATCAGGCTTTTGGTAACAGTCGTCAAATGATGCTTTGCATTTGTGCACTGGGGATTAAACTTGCATTCCAAACAGAAGAAGACGAGGAGGAGGAGGAGATTGGATTTATACCCTGCCCTTCACTACCCGAAGGAGTCTCAGAGCAGCTTACAATCTCCTTTCCCTTCCCCTCCCCACAACAGACACCCTGTGAGGTAGGTGGGGGCTGAGAGAGCTCTCTCGAGGACTGCCCTTGAGAGAGCAGCTCCGAGAGAACTTGTGATTGACCCAAGGTCACACCAGCAGCTGCATGTAAAAGAGCGGGGAATCAAACCTGGGTCTTCCAGATTAGAGTTCGCGCTCCTAACCACTACACCAAACCAGCTCTCAAACAAAAGTTCCATGCCCTGAAACTAAAATCCTGGGTGTATGGAACAAAGTTTCGGATCAGTGCTGAGCACCGAGGTTACTGATTGGGGCGGGAAGTGGGTGGGTGGTCAGCATTACTGAAAGTCTGCCAGGGGCTCAGGGCTTCCCTCGCCTTCCTTGCGGGGGGGGGGGCAGAAAGAGAGAAAGAAGGAAGGGGGTTCCCTCTTTCATACCGAGCTCGCTGGACCAAGCATTTGCCACTACACTACCCGAGGACTGGTTCCATGCTGCGAGCAAAAGCCCTTTTTAGCTGGTGAAGTGGAGAGCTCTTTTGAGAACTGCCCTTGGGAGAACAGCTCTGAGAGAACTTGTGACTGACCCAAGGTCACCCCAGCAGGTGCATGTGAAGAAGTGGGGAATCAAACCTGGTTCTCCCAGATCAGAGTCCGCGCTCCTAACCACTACACCAAACAGGCTCTCTTAGGCGTCAGCCCCTAAGACTCCGGAAAGGCTGTGCCCCACTTCTGAACGTCCCCCCCCCCATTTTACTTAGCTGACACAGAAACTGGCAGCTCAGAATCGCTCCTACTCACCAGGCTAAGGGCCAGGAACACGGTGACATTCGGGGGTGGGGAGGACAGCTCAGTGAACATCTCTTTTGGAGGGGCCACCCCCCCAAGACCCCGCTGGTCTCCCCAGAGCTGGGCTGCAAGGCCAGAGACCTGGATTCAGCAAGTCAGCAGTGGCTGCAGCGCAGCAAAATGGGGTGCGCAGCAGAGAGGAAACAAATTGCACTGTACACTGTGCCGTACGTACTCCCGGAAGGCTCCTCCTCCATCTGTTCGGGGACTTCTAGTGTGGCACAGGGGAGCCTGGGAGGCTTTCCGAATGTCGTGTGTTTTGTCCGTTCTTCACTGTGTCTCAGGGCAAAGGAAAAAAAGGCTCAAAAGAGCCGCGCTGGAGGTTTATCTAGTCCAGCGACCGGCCTCCAAACGGGACCCGGCGAGTGCCGCTTGGGATGTCTGTGAGCAGAGCACAAAGAAGAAGAAGAGATTGGATCTATACCCCGTCCTTCACTACCCGGAGGATGCTGGAGCGGTGCAACAGCCAGGGATTGCGTTCGTAGCCGATGGCGGGTCTGAAGCCGCGTCGGTTGGCCTCCACAACCTGGAAAGCACGGCCAGAGTCAGCTGCGTTGTCTGCGGCTGGGAAGCGCTTAGGGGGCCGGTCCTGGGAGACTGCACTGCTTCCAGCCGTAATGGGTTCAGGGGCGGTAGAAACTGCATTCTTGGTGCTTGGGGGGGGGCAACAGTGGGAGGGCTTCTGGTGTCCTGGCCAGTGTTCCCTCTAAGCTGAGTCAGTGTGAGCTAGCTCACAGTTTTTTAGCCTCCGGCTCACACATTTTTGTCTCCGCTCAGGAAGGGCGGCTCCAGAGCAAACTAAGTTATGCAGCAGCCAAATCACTCGCTCACAGCTTTAATGCCAGCAGCTCACAAAGTAGAATTTTTGTTCACAAGACTGCACAGCTTAGAGGGAACATTGGTCCTGGCCCCACTGCTGGACCTCCTGATGGCACCTGGTATTTCTGGCCACTGTGTGACACCAGAGTGTTGGCCTGGATGGGCCGTTGGCCTGATCCAACATTGGCTTCTCTCATGTTCTCTTATGTTCTTAAGAACCTAAAAAGGTCAGTCAAACTGAGTAGAGACCCAACAATTAAAACTTAATGTATCAATAATGTGTAAAAATACATGTATTTCTTTGTAAAAGGATTAAAAAAATCATATAGGGGCTCAATCACACCCCACGTAAAAATGCCAAAATCACATATACACAAGGGCCAGTGGACGTGACCTGACGTGTTTCGGCCTGTTAGGGCCTTCCTCAGAAGTCAAACACAACGAGGAACACAATACATAATGCAATAAAATTATACAGCATGGATACAAAAATGGACCAGAAAGGAATTGTTCCAGAATGGAATTACTAGGCATAGAATGAAAGTATAAATGAGGCCTCCCAAGATCAAATCATAGGCCAGATGATATTTCACTGATATTAATCTCTGGCCCAGAAGGTGCTTTTCAATAGCTGTTCAGCCCAAGCCAAAGTGTCCTCAGCAAGACTGTCCCTTTAGCATTATGTATTATCTCAACCCCAGAGAAGTAAAAATCAAATAATCGTATGGCAGGGTGTGTAGAATAGCCGGGAGATCCTAAGAGTGTCCGGCAGCCGCACGTTTTTAGCTCTTTTTGCACAGTCCACCACTAGGTGGTGAGATAGACTTGTTTTGGGGCAGAGGGAGCTCTGAAAGTGCTGTGGCTGACCCAAGGTCGCCCAGCTGGCTTCAAGTGGAGGAGTGGGGAATGGAACCCGGCTCCCCAGATTAGAGTCTGCTGCTCTTAAGCGCCACGCCATTGTCTCTCTCACAGAGGAGGGTGAAGAGCCAGATGTGAGTCTCTGCTCCCACAGGGTGCAAGCTACTCCGAGCGCTCTGCCGCTCTTACGATTCGGCCGTCGCCCGGCCCCAAATCCACCAGCAACATCATATTCTCTACTTCCTTGGCACTCGAGGGGACGTACGGCACCTGGGTCGGAAGGAAGAAAGCACTGAGCTGTGAAAAAGGACAGGGGTTTTCCTTCCGCCCTTCAAACCCCCTTAGCTTCCTGAGCGCACGGAACCGGGGACATGCCAATCTGTGCAGCCTGCTCCGCCTACTAAGAGACCTGGTTCTTCATCTGGGGGACGTTATCTGTCCTGCACGGTCACATATCGCCGGTTAGGACAAAGTGCAAAGGAAACGGGAAATCTGAACAATAATACCCGAAGGAGCTAGGAACCCTGGGGGACTGGTTCCTCAAAAGGGGTGAGCAGCCTAGAACCCAGGACAGGCCTTAGAATGAATGACAAAACAGTAGAATCATAGAGTTGGAAGGGACCTCCAGGGTCATCTAGTCCAACCCCCTGCACAATGCAGGGAATTCACAAATACCTCCCCCCACACACACCTCCAGTGACCCGTGCTCCACGCCCAGAAGAGGGGAGGGGGAACCCTCCAGGATCCCCGGCCAAACTGGCCAGGAGAAAATTGGCTTCCTAACCCCAAAGTGGCAATCAGCACTTCCCTGGGCGGGTAAGAAAGGGCCACGAGAACTAAGCACTGATGTATTCATTTGCAACGGAATAGATACTGTTTTGGCCCAGGTGTCAGAACCCACAGCCAACAACGAAGTACACGCATTCAGGAACGGTAATACTTTTATTGCAGAGCTATAGATGCAGTAACATAGGCACTGTTAAGAATGGCGGCGGCCCCATGGGCATAATAGCATATAGGGTATTCGTATGTCGGCGCACAGCAGAGAAAGCACAGAAAGGAATGCAGTAGCAATTAACCTGAAAGGAAAGCAATAGCAATTAACCAGATACAGACCAAACTCCCCAACCTTCATGGCAGCATAGCTGACACCAGGCTAGCC